ATCCTCAAATTATCTTCAACTTCCCAAAATTAACACCACTACGTGCCCACTTATATTCTGTTTTTAAATCTTCCGGTATCTCCTTCAATATTCAAAATATATTTACCACTTAACAAAAATATATAAAATATAATATTCCCTACACTATCATTCTTTATAAGTTATAATATAAGTTATAACCATAGTATATTATTATATTATATTTATTACACATAATTTAATATAGTTTTTGTGTATAATTTATATTTTCTGCATTAACATTGTAATCTTGTTAATTTAAATTCAATATTTCAACTGACAAAACTAATTGTAAAACAAAGTTTAAATATAAAAAAATTAATGTTTTTTTTATGTAGACTGAAAAGACGACAAACAAGTCCCCGTAAAAATTTGCATAAAAATATATTATTTTTTTTTTTTGGAGTTTTGTATTTTTTAATATACAACTAAAAGATAATTATTTCAAATATAAATTACAAAAAATATTTAAATACATAACAAGTACAATCACCCGATACTTTTAAAGTTTACGTGGCAAACTCCAAAGTCCACAAAAGTTGGTTGAAAGTCTGAAACGAAAACCGAGACCACCACCCTTTCACGGAGCAGAACAAAAATGACTCCTAGCGTTACTACATTTGAAACTTTATACAGTCCACTTCACCATGAAAGTTTATCCGATAACCACTATAGACTATAGACTATAACAAGTATATTATGCAATAATCTATCTAAAATTCAATGTGCAGAGTTGCGAGCAACATGGGTTCATCGATGCGGTGATTTAAAATTCGTAAAAATTTACTTTCAGGGTCAAATCTGAAGGCAGTGGCTGTCATAATAATTATCAAACTGTCAGAGTGATATTTATAGGCGCAACATGTGTTTATTTTATTAATTGATTATTTTATCCCTAAACTTGACATAATTTTTTATGTGAATGTATAATAATATTATGCTGTGTTTAAAAATATTAAATCGTTTTCAAATAGTCGTGTGGTTGTTGTAATGACTTAAAATGATGACGTGTAGAAATAGGAAATATTTCAATCCAATATAGAAAAATTAATGTTGAGTAATACACAAATTCACATTTTGGTGTCATCCGGACACTCGAACAGCCGATGTTAGATAGTACGATTTGTGCGCACCCGTCACAGGTTATGGTGAGACAATGAGCATATCATAGTGTAAATAGTTCTTCTCTTAGCAAACGATCCTCTTCCATTTGTTGGGTTTTTTCGTGAGTGTTGTTTTTTCAGTACTCGACCGCCCACCCACGACGGTGGTGTGTACGTATGACTCCCTGCCCCCTCGGGTCAAAATATCTAACCGCTCAAATCACTTGCAGAATCCGTGGTCAGAATGATTACCGTTATATTATTATCACACTAACATCGTAGAATACAATACGACAATGCCCACACAGCCCGAGGTTAAAACGACGAGGATATAGATGAGAACGCATTACGCAACTTACAGTGAACAATATCGTTGGTTTACCTCTAACACACGTAATTGTACGATATGACTGTGGTTTCAAGAATGCCAAATGGTACACAATCATAGGTTAATTGTTTTCGTCTCGACTATATAGTATTCTAATTAACTTTATGACTCAACTAGTTTGAGACAATATGAAGTGTGAGCGTGTTAAGTCCGTCTTATTAACGCATAACGTAGAAAATGATGTTCGCTTTAAAAGAACAAACAATTTTCATCTGTTGTTTTTAACAATATTGCAGTGAATTAACTTAATTGCTATCAAATCTAAGAGAAAGAATTATTTTCAATAAGGCTTTTGTGATTTTGCAGTTTGGAAGCAATAGTTATGGGAAATTCAAAATTGTAGGTGCATTTTTTTATAATTTAGTTAACAAAGACGGGATGCATAAACAAATTAATTAACTTAATGATTCACTAAGATTTAACGAACCAATAACGAGCAACTAAATCATGTTTAAGAGACCATGGTATTCATCATTCGATTCATTAAATGATTATGCAACCGCAAGAAATAATCAAATAAACATCTAATTATTTCCCAAACTACTACAGTGTACGTAATTTACTAAGATAAATGCTTAAGATTACGCAAGTCAGACAAATCTTGTTTTCTCACTACAAGTTACTGGTGGATGGCGTCATCTTAACAAATAAACAAATTAGTTAATTACTATTGTTATTTTTTTTTTAACTGATTTATAAGTTAATAGCTTTCACCGTATTAGGCAAATATATTGTTTGACAACAACTATCAACTTATAAATTTTAGTCTCTAAAGTTGACCTAACTTTACTAATCAAGTTGGTATACTATTATCCGCAGATCTGAATTATATATTAGGATCAAATAACACTTTTAAATTGTGTTTGCACTATTCTATTTCGTAAAGTTTCGTCGATGTTACGGAGCTCCACGGTTTATGCCCACGACAGGTGCTGCTTTTTAAAAATGTTCCACTTCCCTGTTCAATTTATGAGGCGTTATCATTGTTCCGAATAAAAGGGCACGCCCGTTAAGACATGGCTGTCACTCGCCACACTGATTTATAAGATTATTTGGACCTTGGTATAGTCACTGAAAAAACTTTAAACCTATAGTAAGTCTGATTTAAACTTCTTAAGGCAACAGCGGAAATTCGTATACATATATTTTTAAGGCATGAGTGGTGGTGAGTGTTATAGGAATTATAATTCCATTACTTTTGTGGATGTTTCTTCTGTTCGATTCTGACATTCACGAAGGGGCACGTGTGATTTAGTAGGTGACGGTGATTACAGAACCGATCTTATGTACGATTTAAGCGTAGCTGGCCAAAAATGTACGCTCTTTCAGTGATACGGTTTTAGGTATGACGAGAAATAGAAAAGGATTCGTATTCATCGATGGTTTTAATTTATTTTGTGCAGAAATAACGTTTTAGATTCTTCCCCAGTGATACGGTATATTTATCGTTCTTTTTGTTTCGATTCTTATACCTAAAAACTTTTTTGAACGAAATATTTGAAAAAGTTTACGTAGTTCTTTGAAATATAGAATATCATAAACATAGTAGTTACGGTACATGAGTCAACAGCTCGTTCTTTGAATACAGTTTTTCTAAAAATTAGTAAACACTAGGGGGCTGCAGACTAGCCAAGTTAGAATTGAGAATTAACTCCCTAACTCAACGATTTATTATTTTCATTGTAAATTCCCGGTGTAATATATTCACATAGTATAGGTACTCTAGTAGGTAGATAAATTTGACGTAAGGTATTTTGGCACGCGTTATTCGTCAGTTCTACCTCTGATGAGCAATTTTCTTTTTTTGTTTCCGATTTCAATACATTCGTACTCTCTTCAAAAAAAAATCTGTACCACTTTTGTTTGAACCCCAAATCATATTTTGAATTCTGGTGTTATATAATGACGTCTTCAAAAATATAGTTGATCAGATGGAGAAATGATTATTTACTGGTTACAGGACGACTTACCTATACATTTTATCATGACAATACTGTATACAAAATACACTTACGAATACTCTTAAATTATTTTAATTTAAGATCCAAAAGTCAAACCTAATAAAATCGTTGGTTTTTTAACTACTCTGACGTTTATGTTATTTTGATAATGTAAATAACCAATGATACTTGTTTACATCATATAATAAAACGTAATTACGCGCAGACCGTACGTGGTTAATAATATGCTTTCAACTTTTATGTCGAGCATATTGATAAATAGTCTATATTTTGGTATTGTAATCGGAAAAAATTCAAACATTGCAATTGTTTTAAAACGTAATGAAAAGTCCAGATTTGTATCACAATATAACAGTATTATACACTGAAAAAAAAAGATTCTTCATTGATATTTCATTGACGTATAAATAGAAAATTGCTCAGCTGTGTGGATTGATAAAGTTAGCATTGTGATCCTTCATAATATTCTACGTTTTACCGAGAAAAAATACGTATAATCTACCATTTAAACGCAACAACATTATAGTTGACCTATTTTCATGCAATTTATTATCATTAAACGCTTTATTAATTTTATATTTCGGTGATAATATAATGATACGCAATGTGAAAATATTGTTATGTGGATATATAAAAAAAAACTACACACCACAGGGCTAACAGTATTAAATAATACATTGTTCTCGTCAATTTGTACAAAGCAATAGTTAATACTTCACATGAAATTTAATTTATATTAAAAATGATTAATGAAATAAATAAATCTGTTGTAAATATGTTTTAGTTTTTATTTCATACGACTCAAATACAAAAAAAATTAATAAAAATAAAAATGATTTTTATCAAACAGTGTTTTAATTTAAACCACATACATAATAGAACGTTAATTTAAGATGGTAATATATTAAATATAAATGGAAATGGATATATAATAATAAATTATCAGTAACCTATCAATTTACATCGTGGTGGGAATTGGCAATATTATTTTGTTCGTTAACGAGCACCCGTGCTTTTTATTTAATTTATATTGGTTTCTGTGTATATTTTTTTGGCAAACATTTTTATTTATATCTTTAATATGTTTTAATACATAACTTATCTGTAATTTAGGCAGTGACCGGTTCTGTAATAAAAATAAATAACACTAACTAATAAATTTAATTTAGGTATATGTATAGCTGTGGGATGCAATAAAATTTGATTGTTGGTTGATGTACCTAAATTGCCTATACATATCGCCGTGTTAAAAATGTTGTATGAAATAAGTACCAGAGACTCGTTATAATATTTGCTATCAATAAATAAAGATTTACGATAGTATTATGCATATTATTAGACATATTGTGCATCACAGAATTTAAAATCTATGGGTAATGTGTATTTGTATTTATTTTGCTTTTCAATTGATACAGCTATAATAGACACATATTACAGAAACAATATTTCATAGTAGTAAGCTACTAAATTACCTTCCCTTATTTTAATGTTGCATCCAATATGTATCTTAATAATATTATAAAATTTACGATGGTCGGAAATCAAAGGAAATCAAAAAAAAAACACGACTATCCAGTAAATGAAAAAAAAGCCAGTCTCATTTCTGTATTGACTGTAATAGCTTTTGCGTCTCACAGATAACTTATTATAAGAAGAAATACACAAATCAAATATTATAATACGACCTTAAATTTTTTTTCTTTTAAAAGATGGCATAAAAATCGAAAAATTGCAAAATTGATTTATATTCTTTTATCCATTTTATCCCAGCGGCCAGCACCGTAAAAAAAATAGAATACGTACAATTTTGTATGCGCTTTATTTACTTAACACTTCCAATAAATACATAATATTCTATGATAATATATTATAATTTTTTGTACTTGCTTAGATCTTTCGTGTTAGTTTATATATATATGTTTAAAACTGATATTTAATAGGGATAAAACAAAAAATACTAAAAGTTATCATTTTAAATCCAGACAATAAAATAATCGAAATATAATAAAATATATAAATATAAGCTACTGTTCTAAATAAGAGTATTATAAAAAAATATAACATTCTAACTCGTCTTCAGATGATGTTAATACTTTTAAACTCTCACAGAAACTGCAAGAAACGCTTTTATAATATTACAATTACATAATATGTTTTTTTATATACTATTTTAGGGGTTCGCGATGAACTTGTCATCGGCCGGCAATGACACGGCCAAAGGTTCCACCAATGCCACTACAACCGGTCCACACGATTTGTTCAGAGACAGACACCTCACCGACTACTTGTTGATAGTGCTATTTTGCCTTGTTATATTGACGACGGTGGTAAGTGAAACATATGAAAATATTTACGTATAACATTGTTTTAGTTGTTGTGGCAAGCGTTATTATATTTAACTATACTCTGCTGCTCGAATACCAAATACGTATTGATATCTTATAACGATTGTGATGTTTGCACGGAAGATATTAAAACTATTGAAATATTCATCGCCGTTGGGTTATTATTTACTAAAGTTTCAGATTTAATCCGAATAACTGTGAGAATTTTTTTCTTTATTCGGTCGAGTTGAAGCGTATTGATTTAAAGTTCGTTCCGTAAAATTATTGTAGTATAATATTGTGTATAATATGTATTATTGTGTTTGTATTAGTCGATAAAGCTTATTTAAATGGCACCATGAATGTAGTTTTCTTATACCTAACGTATATTCTATTGAAATTCGAATTATTATTGTGTTTCGTAAAAGTTCCGACAATTATCCGAATTGTTCGTATCGCTAGTGGCCCTATATATACGTTGTTAAGATATTTTGAATAATGAATGGTATTCGCACATTAGTTTATTTGTTGTTCTCAAATTGTATTTATAGTTACTTCGCAAACAAGACACCACAGTAGTACAAATTTCCATACAGTATTCGTCAGTCGTCAGTACTTTTCAAAATAACCAGAAAATATAAAACAATTTTTACAAATTAAAATGTTTAAGACTAGTATTTGGAAACCGATTAATATTTTGGTGTCTCTCAACAAAAAATAACTTAAGAATCTACGCCTTAGATACTTGACATAATTTTCACCAAATGTTTGTATTATCATTTTTACATGATATAATAATTTGTTTTTTTTATGAACACCTTTAAAAATATTTTTTCAGGGTCAAAAGGCTTGAATATATATTACAAGGTTCTTCACAAGAAGTTCATACTGACTAATACTGTAACCAAAAAATTTAAAAAATAAATAAACTCTCTTTTTTTCATAGACCTTAGAAGTTTAGCAAAATTCAATATTTATACATAGATTTATGACTTTAGTTATTTTGTTGTAATACAAAAATATTTTTCGTGATGATTTGAAACAAAGCATAATATAAATAATTAATTGTATTGTATTTCGTGTTTATAGTTTAAACTTTAAACTATATTACTATTTACTACAAATAGTTAAATAAATTATAATAATCAATTGCACAATATTTTTTATGATAATATACTGACAAGTTGTTTCCGCTCAGATCCATTTTTCATAATTTACTACATTCATTACAGTTACTTACTCAATAACAAAGTACATTTGACTCTTACTGAACAGTAGAGAGTTTAACTACTTTCCCCCATTTTTTTGAAATCGGTCCAAAATACAAGATATCTAAAAACGTTATGGAATCTAGCCAGATTGAAAATTAATAAATAGGTTATTCATCCTGCGTTGTGCTAAACATGATTTGTTATAAAATATTACAATATTTAAAAATATTTTCACACTTTTCAAAATTAAAATATCGAAAAAATCACCATAAAAACATACCAATTTGATTTAAAAAATATGCCACGTATGCAGAGTTACATTTATTTAGATGTCTTCTTTAACATTTGAGTTACGTGACGACAAGATATAATTTTTTTGTTATTTTAACTACCAATAATACTTCATATTAAAAGTAAATAATTGTATTATTATGTTTTCGTGTCACCGTCACTAGGGTAAACACTAAACAAGTTTTCGAAAAAAAAGAAATAATGGGCTATACTGTTTTGACTACAATAGGTACCAGCACTATAATTATTTACTTACAAGCAAAAAGGTTTTAACACTCGAACAAATTAGACCTAAATCGACCTTTATTTGCAAAAAAATTGTTGACTAATTAAAACTAAATCACGATTATTATGTTATGCTATGTTTCTTCTCTTAGTAGTTAGTTTTAATAAGTATGATTTTGATGCAATAATTTTTTGTTTTGTTTTGTTTTAAGTTATTTCTGCCGTTTTCAACTAATCTTGATCTCAAACCCAACCGTTAAGTCTACGACAATAAAGAACTAACGAATAATACGAGAGTAAAAAAATAGATAAAAAAAATGTTAATTATTTATTTTGTAGTTAAGTTATAGATGAACCAAGAAACCTGTAAAATCCTAAACTTCCAATAAATGTCGAACGAGAAGTTATTTCCAGAATTGATATCAAACACATTCGAATGGGACATTTCTAAAATGATTACGTAACGAGACAAGTTATAATAGAAGGAATGTAAATTTATAGGAAAACACATAATATTTGATGAAAATCTGTGACCGGAAAAACTATCAAATGCACACGCACAATCGCTTATAAAATGTCGTGCTGAAAATCATGATGCAACTCATCACATATTCACGTCGATAGATAACCTCTACCGGTATACTTTTAAAATTACATTTAGATAACCTGCTCCATATTCTAATTTTACCAAAAGTTTTGGGACACAATATCCATAAAACATCAAAGTTATTTAACGTAAGCGCTGTAACTCTAATTGTATTTACTTTTATAAATCAATAATTCACAAGTAAAATAAATCAAGAATATAATACACCTATATTCTCCGAAAAAATGATTGTAAATAATAATATTGAACTAAAACACTGAATACAATAATTTAAATGGCCGCCCTGGACATCATCTAGGTCCCGTTTTACTATTAAATCGAATCTGCATCAATTTTTCTCTTAAATTTCGTTTATATTTGATTTTCTGTTAGTACAGCTAAACGTGTCGCGCTCGTGATGGAATGATATAAAATTACCGAAATCCCAAATTTATCATTTCACATGATATAGGTAGCTATATCATACGTATTCACTTTGGTTTATGTCGGAAAAAAGTTCAAAGACTAAAGATTTCGAGTTTGCAAATCAGGCACTCTCCGTAAATCTCTGTAAATCGAGTACTAGTTTATTCGATATAACGAAACTGTTTCATAAAAATATGAAAAATATGTTCTAATTTCTGCTAGGGACCATCGAAAACGATACAATTTTATGTAAAATAGATCACGATATGGTATCATCTATACCTACCACACATTCGCTCAGCTGACAGTCGTCGCACGTGGAAGCTCCACATAATAATAACCATATGATAATGATGATGATTGATGACGTAATGAACAGTTAACGAACATGATTGTCGAGTATAAATCTCGAAATCGTGTCATTTAATCCTATACTGCATAATGTGGACATTGCAGATTACATGCTGATTTTATTTTAAAAAAAACCGCCTTTTTTACGGCATTGTATACATTAAATGTCAAATTTTGTCAACAAACCGAATTCCATATTGATATCAAAATTACTACAACAACCGTGGTTACAATTATATTTATCATTATATGTATTATGTTTTATTAAATTACCCAGCTATCTTATCAACTAATCAGTACCAATGTGTTTATCCTACGATTGTAAAGAACTTAGAATATGATATTAAGTTCTTTATAATTGTAGTTTCTATTTCATTCTATTTTTTTCAAATCATACAAAACAAACTTGGAATCAAAAAAAATATTTATTTATTGAAAATCATTATAGTTTGTATGATCAATTAAAATCATTATCATTAAAAATGATATAATTTTTTTTGTGTAATTTACGTTTACGTTAGTTATCACCATCGGTAGTATTCGGTATTGTAGTCATAATAATATTAGCATATTGTAATTACAACGACAACAAACCCGTCTCAAATAATGTCTAATTCATTAGAGGTAAAAATTGTATTAAGTCTACTGCCTCCTTGATAACAGTCGTTCGATGATTTCATTTCGACTAACGAAAACACGTGTAAGTTTCATATGTCGGTTTGGTTTACTACTACGATTACTTAGCTGATAAAATATGTAAGTTGTAGAATATAAGAGTTGTATAATGTAATTAAAATATTATAATTTATATATTATTATAACATGCATGAAAACATAATATCTTATAACACTCGTCAGCCATGAACGAATTTCTTTCTCGGTAATTGAACTCAACGTTTTCTAAAATATTCTAAATTCCATATTTTATACTCCAGTTGTGGTGAATGATGTATTCCACGAAGAGAAGTATTCGATTATTATCCAATTTCACCCGTGCTCTTTAAAATTTAAACTAAAAATGGTCGGATGTTACCTTAAATATTTCGTATTGCCGAGGGACTACGGTACAGCAATGAGTTTCAGAAAAATGTGTACAGTTCTATATATTAGTTTCTGAGAAGATTTTTTCGACTTGAAAATTTTTATCACATTGACCCTCAGTAATAGTAAACTAAAAATAACTGGAAAGAAAATTCGACGTAGCTATTGCTCGTCAGAGGGATATAGGCGATTTTAATGAAACGTCCTAAAACTCGGTTCAATTAGTAACCCGTAGGTATGTAGACATATCACAAAGAATGAGCTTAGAAGTTGGTAATAATTTATTTTAATTTTTCAAACATAAAACCTCTCTCATCTCGTTTACCCAACCATCAATAACACGCTATTAGAAATTTCAGACTTTTCTCCATTGACTTCGGAAAATCCAAGGATAAACGAGATTCTAAACGACTTTATATTTTGCGATTTTTTTGTTGAAAGCGAAATGGTTAATGATTTGACATACATAATACAAACCTACTATATAATAATAATAGCCCATAATATATAATAGACGATGCTACTAATTTTAAATGAAAAGCTTTTCATTATTATTAAAACTGAGGCATTTATTTTACAATCTATTATATTTTTTTTATACAATATAATAAATAAAATAGATAAACTTTAAAAAAAAATATATATTTTTTAATTATATGGAAGATTAGTTGGAGAGAAAGGAAATTGAACATAGAAGTGTTAAATATGATAAAAGAACCAAGACAAATTATCAAAATGATGGAAATAAGAAAAGTCAAGTTTTTCGGACACATTATGAGATATAACACGTTAATTACAAATATTATGGTAGGTAACTAGGTAAGATAAATTGGAAAAGAGGAAGAGGACAGCCGAGAGAAACAAATCTTGGA